CAGACTGTGGAGACGGGGCCTTTCAGCCAGTGGCCCCCAGACTGTGGGGACGGGGCCTTTCAGTCAGTGGCCCCCAGACTGTGGAGACGGGGCCTTTCAGCCAGTGGCCCCCAGTCTGTGGGGACGGGGCCTTTCAGCCAGTGGCCCCCAGACTGTGGACCAGTTTGACCTGCAGCTTCGTTCTGCTGACTCTGTGGAGGTTTTTAAAAAGAAACTGAAAACACTTTTAGTCTCTCAGCTTTTATGTCATGATTTTATTCTGCTTCTTGTAGTTCTTAGGCTTGTTTTATTCTTTGTATATTTTAACATTTAACGCTCTATAAATAAACTTTACTTACTGTATATCTGTCAGTTTTGTGATCAGCCATCTGATCATATTTTAAAAAGGATAAATAGAGAAACATTCTCAAAGAAAAGCTATTCCAGTTTTTTAGAAAACGCAAAGAAGTGCAGAGATTTATGTTTGAGCATACAGCTTTAGAAACACTTTAAAAATAATTTATGTTTGTCTACTGTTGTCTGTACCACATCCTTGTTCTTTGTTAAATCAGGTCTCTCTCGTAAAAGAGTCCTCGAGGCTCAATGACACTAACCTGTAGAAATAAAGGTTGAACCAAAAAAAAAACAGTTTGAAGGGAACATTAGACATGTGAGTGTTTTAGTATGATCCAGTAGAGGATGCAATATATTTTAAGATTCATGTCACAGTCCAAAGATAGCAGCACACCAGAGGACAGTTTGAAGGAGCTGGAGCATTTCTGCTGCCATGAGTGAGAAAATACTCCAGAGGTCAGACAGAGCCGTCTCAAGGAGACAAACTAGCTTTAATAACTGTTGGGTATGAAAAGAAGCTGTCTGTCACAGGCCTCATTATACTCACTTTAGCCCCACATCACACCGACATATGCACATTTACTGGATTTTATCATCAACGTCAAGGTTCTTTATTGTCATTCACATCCCATGAGGTGGAATGAAACTATGTACACAGGGTCCCAGTTACATCCAACAAAAATACAAATTGTAAAGAAAAACAGTAATAAGATCTAAGATATGAACTGAGGAATACACTAAACTAAGAATATACTAAGTACTACTAGTACAAAACAATGTGCCAAACAACATATACATA